AATTGCCTGGGAGAAATTCCCAGTCCTGGGACCAGTCTATGGTCTGGACTTGTGAATAGAGGAGTTTTAATTAATGGTATTTTCTCTTAGATTTCATCTTCTATTTTAGGTATGTTTGCTTTTTCCCATTGTTCATGGCTAGCTGCAATATACTTGTTAGCTGAATCCCTTTTTTCTAGGATTTCACATTTATTTTGGAAACAAAAGTTAGTAGAAGATCAAAACATGTTGTGTGCTTTGCGTCATTTCTTTATGAAGTGTATTTCTTTCTCTTCTGGAGAGATGTATTGATTGGTCTTCATGTATTCTTTACCTTACAAATAAAAAAAAAAAGCTCTCCCTCTCTCTGATTATAGCATGTGACGCGAGTAAAAAATAAGACTTGAGCAAAAAAAACAAGACTTACTTGAAATTTTATTTTATTGTAGAGATGCTGTACAGAGGGGTTACAGTTACATGAGTAAGGTAATAAGTACATTTCTTGTCCAGCATTATTACCCCCTCTGTTTTACTCCTACTGTCCCTTCCCTCCCCCACCTCCCCCACTCCCCATGGGAAGTTGTAAAGTACATTTCCAACATAGTATATTGTAAGTATCATTGTTTCAATGAGTCATCCTGTGTCCTCGTTTTAGCATTTTGTTATTGCCCTTCCCCTACTCAAATTAGATAAATACACATACAAGATGCAGGGTACCAAAATCAAGTACAGTAACAACAGAGAATATACCATAGGGGGGAAGAACATACAGAAGACCTCCCCCCAAAATCATATAGTACATTAAAAACAACGACAAAGAAAAATCTCTTGTGTCCGTATCTTGGGGTTCATTTCTCTTAGCATCATCTTATATGGTCATGTGTACACAGCTTTGGAGCTTTTCTGCTCATATGATCAGATTATCCTAGATATATACTAATTATTGCAAATAAGGGAAACCATGAGACCTATGTTTCTTTGGGTCTGGCTTACTTCACTTAATGTGATTTTTTCCAAGTCTTTCCATTTCCTAACAAATGAAGTGGTGTCATTCTTTCTGATGGAAGCCTAGAATTCATATATCTATATCGATATATCTATAGATTTATCTATCTATAGATATATCGATATAGATATAGATATATCACATTATCTTGATCCACTCATCTACTGAGAGGCATCTGGGTTGTTTCCATATCTTAACTATGGTGAATAATACTGCAATAAACATAGTTGTGCTGGTAGCTTTAGTATGGTGTTATTTGTAATCCTTTGCGTAAATGCCCAGAAGTGGGATTGCTGGGTCATAGGGGAGCTCTATGGGAAGTCTTTTGAGAAACCTCTATAATGCTTTCCAGAGTGGTTAAACAACTTTACACTCCCACCAACAGTGCAGAAGGGTTTCCTTTTGGCCACATCCCCTCCAGCATCTGTTATTACTAGATTTCTTGATTATAGCCATTCTAACTGGGGTGAGGTGGAATCTCAATGTTGTTTTGATTTGCATTTGTGTTATGGCTAGAGAAGTTGAGCATTTCTTCATGTGTCTATTGACCATTCTTTTTCCTCTAAAGAGAACTCTCTCTTTAAGTCTTTAGCCCACTTATTAATGGGTGGGTTGGTTGGTTGAGGATTTGTTGTTGGAGGATTTAATTTTTTGAGCTCCAGGTATATTTTAGATATGAGACCCTTGTCCGTTGTATGGCTAATGAGGATCTTCTCCCAATCTGTGGACTTTCTACTGATCATGCTAGCTATGTCCTTTGCCATGCAGAAGCTCTGCAGTTTCATGCAATCCCATTTGTTCAACCTTTCTTTGATTTGTTGTGTTTCTCTCTTTATTAAGAAAATTTTGGCTTGTGCTAAGGAGCCCTAGAGTTTCTCCTTTTCCATCCTGTAATGTGTTCAGGGTGTCTGCTTTTACTTTGAAGTTTTTGATCTAGTTGGAGTTGATTCTGGTGCTGGTGATATGCAAGGATCTAGCTTTAGTTTTCTATAGGTGTTTAACCAACTTAAGCAACATTTACCGAAGAGGCTGTCTTTCTTCCATTCTATTTTTTTTGGCTCCCTTATTGAAAATTAGGTGGCCATAGGTCTGTGGGTTCATTTCCAGTCCTTCAGTTCTGTTCCATTGGTCCTAGGGTCTGTTCATGTGCCAGTACCAAGCTATTTTGATTACTATAGCTTTATAGAGTTTGAAGTTTGGTATGGATATTCCTCCAGCACTGTTCTTTCTGCTAAGAATTGTTTTTTAAACACTCAGTAAAAAAATTAATGGCTCCAGTGGTAGAACAACTTTCTAGCAAGCACAAAACCCTGAATTTAAATCCCAGTACCACCAAAAAACAAACAAAAATCATTATGAATGTCTCTTTAGGCATGTATATAGAAAAATATTTATTGAAAAACTTTATAAACATTTTATATATGTGTAACATTCTAAATGTCAGTTTTATAGTCTAGATTTTAGCCTAATGCCATCTTTTTATATTGATAAGTATGTATGTATATCATCATCTTAAAAGGCATAGAGAATTGTATAATATAAACTTAATAATTTATTTAATATATACCTCACTAAGAGCAATAGAATGGGCATTCTCATACCTATGCCATTATGGATTATTTGATAAGTTGCTTCTTTGAAATATATCCTAAGAATGAAACTGTAACTTACAATGTAATGTTAATAATTTTAAGATAATAATTTCTGCTTATCTCATTTGTTTTACAGAGTCTGATTCCTTACAGTGTCATATTCAGGGAGTCTCAAAAGTATTTTAAATCTCTATTAAACTGAAGTATTTAAAGAAATGGTTTATTAGGAAATGAGTTGAGGGAGGGGAGAGAAAAGAGGGGACAATGAGTTGCAGAAGATGGAAAGACATTACATATATATGTCTATATCTCCATATGTATGATATATGTGTAGATTTATATATAATATGTGTGCGTATTTATTCATGCATTACTTCTACTCTGTGATTATTGTATGTGGCTTGAATAAAGTCAAGAAGAGAATATATGAGACGATGTGAAACTGACTTTTTCAGTGAAACTGACTAAATGCTGTTTGAAAAAGGGGGAAAAAGGAGGAGAGGAGTAGGAAAGTGGTGAGATTTGTTCAAAGTACACTGTACTGTGTATCTCTATGGGAAGATCAGAATCAAGCCGCCTCATATTAAAGTATATGTTAACTCAGAAAATTTTGAAAAAACATAATCTTTAAAAGCAAAACACGTTTTGTTAAATTTTTACTGAAATCTGATTAATGAGGTTGTATGTTTTCTCATTATTGCTATTTCTGTTTCTTTGGGGGAAAATGCATATTCATATCCGTTGCCTTGTTTTCTCTTAGGCATTTTGCCTTTTCCTTATTACTTGTAATGGTTTCTGTGCATTTTGGATATGTGTGATCCCTGTACAGCCTCTGGAGAGGAGTATGCCAGGAAAATATTGGAGATAAATACTATGTTAAAATGAAAGGAGAATTTACTACTGTCTCCTTCTAAGTAGCTATTTAACCTCTGTCACTCAGTTTCCTTCCTATAAAACTAGAAAAGAGTAGCCAGTCGTTACTTAAAGTTCTCCAGCTGTAATAAAGCCAACGGTTATTAAAACAAAGTATTTCACCTGTGGAACTTTCCCCGTGAACGCTTTGGAATCTTATATTGTTTTTTAATCTATCCACTTGGTTGGCGAGGGAAAAGTTTCTGCCCTAAGGTTATAGAGATAGCTGAACACATGACCCCCACTGCTGGACAGGGGAGATTGACAGAACTTTATTAGTTCACACATATACCCTAGGGGAAGATCCTACCTACCACACAAAGCAACATGAGAGTTTCACTTTGGGAACAAAGTGAACAATCAGAGGGAGGCTATAGAGGAAGACTTTTTTAAAAATAGGGGTGAAGTGTCCTCTGTTCTTGTCGGAGGATGTGGTTGGCTTACTAGGATAAAGCCAGGGATAGGAAATGAAATCCATTGGATAAGCATGAACTTTGTCTGCTTTCTAGAGTGAGGAATGGTGCTTGGAGAGAGGACTTTATCCACAAGGGTAGTTGTGGTTAAGGTTCTTTTCAAAGCCCTCCTGATTTTCCTCAGATTTCAAGAGAGCACACAGTCTTCTCAACTGCCCAGCGTTGAGTCTGCTGATGTGGTCCTCTTAGTCCTTTGCCAAGTTCCTGTCCACTGCTAAAACTCTCCCCTATGCTCGCCTCCACACCACAGGCCTTTGGAGTGACATAGTATGGCTCAAGTAATATGGTGCCCGATTTTGTCAAACATGGCATGTTTCCCCTCTCTGCCACCTAGTAGTTGTGTGGGGTTGGACAAAATGCTTCTCTGCTTCAATTCCTATGAAAAAGGTGTACATACCCTTTAAAAAACAGTACCTATAAGAAGTTTTAAGCATAACACCTGGCTCATGTCATACTTAGACCTTTATTATTTAATGTATCCAACTTCTTAGTCTTCATCTGCCTGTCCTGTAAATGCAAGTATTAACTAAGGTCTTTTGTAGCCCTCCTTCCTTCCCTCCCTCCTTGCTTCTCTTTTTAGTCTCTGAAAATGGGTTTATATTTTATATGACCTCAGCTATAGCTTTAGAGAATGACCTCCAGATTGTATTTCTTGCTTATATTGCTCTATGCACTCTAGTTTCATATTCCAATCATCTTCTAGAGATTTCTCCTCAATCCAGCACATTTTCCTAAGTGGCTTACTAGTGTTAGTGTTAGTGGTATCAGCAGTCCATGTTGGTGTCATGGTTGCTCTATTTTGATCTTCACTGTCTCTCAAAGGGCCAGTATCTGAGATGTAATCCCAGTTTTAGTGACACTGGGAAGTGATAGAACCTTTAAGAGTCAGAGCCTACTGAGATGTCTTCAGGTGATTGACGGCATGTCTTTGAAAGGATTACACACCCCTAGTTTTTTCCTCTTTCTTTTCTTCCTGGCCATGAAGTGAACATCTTCCCTCACCTCAAAATCCCACCACAATGTGCTGTTTTCCCACAGGTTCAAAAGCAAGGAGTCCAACGGATCGTGGACTGAGTATTTCAAACTGTAAGCCAAAACAACCCTTTTCCTTATGTAAGTTGATTATCTTAAATATCTCATTATACTTACTGAAAAATGCCTAACACAATACTCTTAAATCATCTTTAGTTTCTTACCCTTTTAGAGCCACAATAGCTCCGCACTTAAGGGTTACTGGTGTCATCTCCCACAGGATGGCTTCAATCTATTCTTTTGACTCCATTCCCTCAAATCACTGTATTTTAAAATATGCCTTGTTGATTAATTACTTCGAAAGGTTGTTTTTGTTTGATTATTTTGCTTTTATTTTGTCAGAATGGTTAGACATTTGGCATTAGACTCAGTTGACAATGTAGGGATACTCTCAAATCCCCAGAATTAGTAAAAAGGATTTTTAAGGTAAAGAAAACACAGAAAGAAGCTTCTTTAAGTTTCTCTATTAAGAGACACAGAAGGAAGCCTCTTCATGCTTCTCTTATATTACTAAAAGAAGAAACTTCTAGAAATGAAGCTTCTATAAATTCTATCTTCAGAGTAGCTTTCACTCCCAGGAAGAGTGAACATACCATAAATTTCCTGGAGATAGGGAGAATATTTATGGCAATGAAGAAGGTGGAAAGACCTCTTGTACCTTTATGAGTAGACATTCTCACAAACTGTTACTATCTTCTATTTATAATGTAATAATTAGTATATGTCTAGGATAATCTTATCAGATGAGCAGAAAAGCTCAAAAGCTATGTACATATGACCATATAAGATGATGCTAAGTGAAATGAACCCTAAGATATGGACACAAGAGGTTTTTCTTTGTTGTTGTTGTTTTTAATGTACTATGTGATGGCTCCTTGGTACTCATGAAAGAAGCAAGCTGGTCAGCCTGGTATCCAACACCTTCAACTATGTAGTCATAAACCGTTTCCTTCTTCATCTCCCTATCTTTCTTATATTCCACCAGATTTTCTTTGTTTAATCCCTAGAATACGTATTGCCCTGAATTTCTTTCTCATTTTGGAATGTTTTTATTCTACTGACTCACCTTCATATTCCCAGTGTCTTGAAATCATGAATTTGTAATTCAGATCCTGGCTTTTCTGGTTATGAGGTATGTGACATTGAAAAATTAATCTTCCTGAATTTTGAGTTTCTCATTTGATAATGGAAAATATATTGTCATATTACAGGGTTGTATTAGCTAACCTAGTATAAGTTTCATGTTCATTGAATGATTTGGTGACTACTACAGCTAAAGGTAACACTTGCCTTCTCTACCTATTTTGTTATTCATAAAGGATTTACATTATGCTACTTTGTGCTATGTTATATCAAAATATGCCTTGCTGATTAATTACATTGAAAGATACTTTTGTTTGATTATTTTGCTTTTTGGACATAAGCATCAACTGGAATAGTTCTTTATTCATTCAGTGATTATTTATCAAGCATTTTGTATCTGATGGTATGACTTGGCTGGCAATGCAAGAATTATAGATTTCATTTCTATCTTCAGAAAACTTTCACACTATCCAATTTTCATTGCATGACAACTGTTGAGAGCCCAAGGAAACAACACCTGACTCAGCTCCTCATTTCAATGGTGTCCAGGGCAACAGTATCTCAACTGAGATCTGAAGAGGGGTGGGGCTTAGATGGACAGGAAGGAAAAGGCACTGCTGCAGGCCAAGTGAGCAAAGACATTTGGTGAACATGTGACATGTTCACAGAACAGAGGGAAGCAGAGCATGATCTTTCATGTATCCCAAGAACAAAAGGACCACTCCTAGTTTTCAAGGATATAAACCAAGAAAGGTAAGCCCAAACTGGCTCATGAAGGGGTTTCTGTTTGTGTTGTTACTAGTGCTGGTTCAGTTCCCCTATCTGGAAAAGTCAGCAAGTTTGTTTCTGTTTTTATGAATATGGGATATGCATGGTTTTGTGGTAGAATGTTACAGTCAAGAAAGCTCATTTTGACAAAATAATAAAATTTGAAAGTAACTGGACTACCTTACTTCTATTTCTTAGGGACTATGAAGAAAAACTGTTTCTCAGCTTTATATTTAATCCAAGTCACTAATCTTTTTTTTTCTCATTTCCATATCTTCGCATTGATGTCTTTTCTTGTTGATGTTAGCAAAATATATAAGCTGGTTTTATGGTGCTATTTCCAAAGAGGCATACAATATACTTTGATCAAGTTTACCCCTTCTATTACACTCTCTTAAGCCCTCATTCCCTTCCTCCATACTTTTTCAAGTAGTATTTAGTGGATTTGGTCATACAACACACACACACACACACACACACACACACACACACACACACACACACACACACACACACACACACACACACACACACACACACACACACACACTGAACTTCCATCATGCTTAACTTAAAGCACCTCTCCTTTTTACCTAGCCATGTCCTTCTTTCTTTTTTACCAGACAATTTACCTTTTATTCTCATGTCCTATTATTATTATTATTATCACTATTTTTAGGTGTAAATTTTTGCATATGAGCAGAAATATAATGTTTGGATTTTCTTAGCTTCACTTATCTTTCATAACATTACGCTCTCTAGTTCCAACCAGCTTTCCTACAAATGACATGGAATCATGGCTGAATAATACTCCTCGCATATGTATTCATTTTCCTTATCCATTCATTGGAACCTAGGCTGATTTCATAGATTGGGTATTATGAGTAAGGCTGCTATAAAGTTGGCTCTGTATAGCAGAAGAATAAAATGCCCCTATTTTCAGTTTTTGGAAGAACCTCCACACTGATTTCCATAGTGGTTATATTTCCAACAAGTGTATTTTAAGGTTCCCCTTCTCCTCCAGCATTTGTTGTTTTCTTGATATTGGCCATACTGGCTATGAAATCTCAGTGTTATTTTGATTTGCATTTCCTTAACAGCTAAGGATAATAAACATTGCTTCCTGTATTTATTGGCTGTTTGTATTTCTTCCTTTGAGAACAGTCTTTTCAGTTCATTTGCCCATTTATTTGTTTGTTTATTTGTTGGCAATATGGGAGTTTTGAAATCAGGACTAACACTTGCTAAGCTGTCACTATACTAATAAGCTATGCCTTTAGCTCCGTTGTGTTCTGGTTAATTTTAAGATATGGTCTTGGTTCCTGCCCACACATAGTCCTGACCCAAGGCACACATGATTTAAGCTTCCCTAATAAGTCAAAATGGCATTCTGATTTTGATAAAAATTGCCCCATAGATGGCTTTTGATGGCATGTACATTTTCACAATTGTTAGTATTTCCATCTTCTAGTGTCTTATTTACTGTCTCATCATTGTTTTATAGTTTTCATTGTAGAGACCTTTTATCTTCTTCGTATATTCCTTGCTATTAAATTATTTGAGACTACTGTGAATAGCATTGTTTTTCATGATTTCTTTTTCAGCTTGTTCATTTTTGGTATATAGAAAAGCTACTGATTGTTGCATTTTTCAGTCTAGTATCTAGGGTTCATCTGCTCAAGGAGGGGCTTTTTTTGGTGGAGTCTATATTATCTGCAAGTAGACAGTTTCACTTCTTTTCCTATTTATATCACATTTATTTATTTCTCTTTTCTTATTACTCTGGCTAGGAATCCACCACTATTTAAATTTGTTTTGGGAAACTGGACATTTTGTCCTATTCTAACAGTAGAAGAAGTTGTTTTAGTTTTTCACTATTTAGTATGATATTGAGTATAGGTTTGTTGATATACATCCATTTATTTGAGCTTCTACAGACCTGTTATAATAAAAAGATACTGAATTTTGTCAAAGGCCTTTTCTAAATCTATATAGATGATTATGTAACTTTTGTCTTTTATTCTGTTTATGTGTCATATTACATTTATTGACTTACATATACTGAACAATCTTTGTTTCAATAGAATGAAACCACCTTGGTAATTGTGTATGATCTCTTTAATATGTTATTGAATTTGGTTTTCAAGTATTTATTGAGAATTTTTATCTAAGTCCAAGAGGCAAATTGATTTATAATTTTGGTTGTGTTATAGGTCTAGTTTTGGTATCAGGATAATATTACCTTTATTGAATGAATTTAATAGCATGAATTTAGTAGCCTTTTTATGGTGTGGAATACTTGGAGGAATATTGGTGAAAGTTCCTCTTTAAAATTCTGATAGAATTTGGTGTTGAATTCTTTTAGCCCTGAACTTTTTTGTTAGGAAACTTTCTTTCAATCTCATTGCTTATTACAGAGCTATTGAAGTGATTTATATCTTTTTAGTTCAATTTTGGTAGGACATATGCTGTATAAATGTATCCATTTCTTAAAAATTTTCCAGCTTATTATAAAATAAGATTTTGAAGTATTCTTTAATGATCCTACAAATTTCATTGTTATTAGTTGTGATTTCCTCTTTTAATCTCTAAACGTATTGATTTGGTTCCTATGCAGTTTTCTTTGGGTTAGTTTGTCTAAGGTTTTGTCATTTTGCTTATCTTCACAAATAATAAACTTTTAGCTTTATTTATCCTTCTTATGTTTTATCTCTATTTCACTCATTTCTTTCCTTATTGTCATTATTTTTTTTCTGCTTTCTGTCTTTGGATGTGGCTTGTTCTTTTCCAAGAGGTTGAGATGCCTCATTATTAGGTTATTTATTTTGTATTTCTGATATGTGTTTTTGAGATCACTGATTTTCTTTATGTAAGCAGTCAGAGCTATAAACTTTCCTCTTAGCATTGCCTCTTCTGATGAGTTGTATATCCATTTTCATTTGATTCTAGAAAGTTTTTGTATGTTTTCTCTTATTCCTTTAGTGACTCACTATTCATTCAACAGTGTATTATTTGATATCCTTTTGTTTTAATGTATTTTGTAGTTTCTTTTATTGTTGATTTCTAGCCCTATTCCATTGTCGTCTGATACAATACAGAAGGTTAGTTTGATTTTCTTGTATTAGTTAAGATTTGTTTTGCTTCCTAAAATATCTATTTTGGAGAGAAAGTTATATGGATTTCTGAGAAGAATGTCTATTGTGCAGCTATTGGATGAAATGTTCTAAAGA